ATATTATCTTTTCCAATTCTTCTGATATTCAGTGTATTGTTATGTTGATGCTATTAAACTGTAATCCACTGATATTATTATTTATTCGATGTTATCTAAACAACATTAATGTTGTTAATAACAGAAATTCATTCACTATTATGTATAAATAACTGCAGAAACTGATGATGAAGTTATCGAAAAAAACATTCTTTGCTAAGTAACCATTCTTTTGAAAAATAGTATAATAAAAAAACTAGAGAATTATTAATAACAAAAATCACGTATCATGTGATAAGACAAATTAAGTCCATTGTATTTCCAGCGAATGAACATAGTTCTTCCGTATGCAGAGTTCAGGATTTAACATGTGGATCACCATAGCTTCTGAGCTTTGAAGAAGTTCGTACTCTTTTGGCAACATTTCCACATACTCTACAGATGACTTTAAATTTGATTTGCAGGTTCACTCGGTTTCCAAAGTCGATCAGGTGTTCAAGAATTGAACCCCGGGGGGATTTTGTTCCCCACTGTAAAACCATTAGTATAAATATTCAGTGATACATTTGGATAGCAAATGCTGAGTACAACCAACATGCTTAGCTGCAAAAAAGCAGATGACTTGATACACACACATTGATAAGACCAGCAGTGGTAGCTTATCCTCTAAGTTCATGTGAATCATTGGTTTTCTAGAATCCAGCCAAGAAGAAGATTTTCTCCAATGAACACGATAAGCAGTTTCTTAGTATTTCTGCTGATGGATGTTCACTGAATCTTAGATTTAGAAAGAGTGAAATGTGGGGATTTTGGCTGTGTTAGTAACAGGAATTTTTTGATGAAGCGTTCAAGTTAGCTATTTTCAGTGAGAATCCTTTTTAGAGCGTAAAATCTTGAACTCTGCAAACAGGAGAAGCTTGTTCAGTCAATGAACTATCAATTTGTCTTTTCACTTGACATGTAATAATGTTTTGGTTCTATTTTTTTCGATTACGTTCGTTATTTTTCTCTATCCCCACTCATCTATTTCTACTCCTTATGATGATAGAGACAGTTATCCTGTTTGTAATAGAAAAATCATATTATTATATATACAAATAGAATAAGCTGTTACCACTATCATTAACGTCATCATAATTATGAGGGGACTGGCATTCGATGGATAAATAAGTGTGTTCAAGTATAAAATTTTCGTAATGTAATTTTTGTCTTTTTTTGATCACTATTCATACGGATAGTCAGTGAAAAGCTCAGATGTAAATATATATATGTATATATATCGTAATATTTCACTCCACTTACATATTATCAATAATGATGGCAATAAACTCCATTAAGCAGGCTGCACTTTATCATAGGTGATAGAATCTAAAACATACTACAGTTAGTTTTACTGCATTTCTGTATTCGTTTCCTAGAGTGTAGTGGAAAATTAGTTTATAGGTAATGCATATTTTAATTACCTTAAGTTATCATTTATACAATCAACATGTGTAGATGTCATGAGCACATGTAGAGGATATTCATTCACTGCATAGTCCATCTCTAGCTATGCATATATTTACGCAATACTATGTGATATCTGATAATAATAATAACAGTTAGGCAAGTTGACATTTACACTAACGTCCTACATCAAGACTCATTAATTTTCTCATTGAGGGGAAACAAAAATGACGATAATACAATCTTTAAATGTCATTATTTTGAATCACTTCTTCTGGTTTCACTTGATTATTAATACTAATACTCTCATGTTATTACAGTTGATTACCGTGATAGTGAGCACGTGTTACTATGCATTATTATTATGCTCAGCATAAGTAAGATATTGTAGTGAATGATACATTCTGCTAATCAGTGAATGAAAGGGAACGTGTCAAAACTGAAGTCATTTTTAAGGACTGTTAAAACGGTAAAGGCAGAATATCAGTGCAGCATTGTAGTTGAATATATTTTAGCTATGAACTAATCACATTGAATCACAGCAAGTAGATGCTATGCTCCTGAAATAAAAGGTCAATGAATGTTTTGAAAAATAAAAAAATGTTCTACAAGATTGGTCATCTTTGAAAGTTGACTCAAGTCCACCGACATAACTATACACAAGATACAGTGACTAGTTGAAAGCAAAATAGTCAGCTGATGGTATTGAGGATGCTGTATTATCATTATTGTTCCCTTGAGCTCCTAGTGGAACATAGGGCTTCAACTACACGTATCCACTTGCTTCTGTCTTCTGCTGTACTTTTCACCTGCATCCATGTTAGTCCATACTGTTTCAACTTATCTTCACACGATCTCCTCCATGTCACCCTTGGGCGTCCCAGTCGCAGCTTCCCTTTCGGGTTTCACTCGACCGTTGGCCTGACGCGATGTCACCCAACGGCCTCCTCAGCGAGTGAGTGTCCAATCCATCTCCACTTTCGCCTGCATATTTGTTGGGGGCGATTGGTTCTTGTTTTGTTTCTTCCCATAGTTTCTTGTTGGTTCTTGTTCTTTCCGGCCATCTGATCTTGAGTACAGAACGAAGACAGTTAGTTGTTGATAAAGGTCTGCAACAGGCTGTTGGAAATATTCTTTGTGACCCGCCGCTAAGTTTCTGATCCATCCGTATAGAAGAAGTGACTGAATTGACGTTTGTATTGAAAATCCGAATCATTTTGTTGTTGATGCTGAGTTGAGTGACGAAGATTTCCAGATTGGTTTCAGGTTGATCAATGTTTTTCTCGCCTACCCGATTCTCGATTTGACATCCTCGTCCGTTCCTCTCGTAGCTGAGAAAATGCTTCCCCGATAAGTGAATGAAGTAACCTCTTTCAAATCCCTCCCGTTGATGGTGATTGGCGCTGGATGTTGCTGTTGTTGTTGTTGGTTGGTTGGTTATTTTCATAACCTCCGTCTTGTTTATGTTCACCTGGAGTCCTGTATTTGCCACTTCTTCGACCACTTTGTCGTTTTTCCCTTGTAAGTCTTCAATTTTGTGTGACATCAAACATAAAATCATCCGCGAAATCCAGGTCTTCTAGCTTCTTCACGTCAGTCGGTCCAGGCTATCCCTGTCTTCTCGTTTCCCACTGTCTGATGCATAATCCAGTCCAGTTCACCACAATTAGGAATATCATTGGTGATAATAATCACCCTTGTCTGACTCCTGTGTTTACTCGAAACGCCTCGCTGAGTTTTCCGTTGTGGATCACTTGACATGTGCCGTTGTCGTACAGCTGTTGAATAAGGTTGAACAACATTTGAGGTACACCGGCTATATGGCCAGTCAAATACATTAAAATAAATAAGTCGTAATCACAATCCACTAGGAGTAGTTCTTCTTTGAACGGTTCAGTAATATGTCTTATACAGTTAGGCAAAGTAGTAAACTAAAAGATGCTTTGGATAAAAACTACGCACGGAACAAGCTGGATTCAAGAAAATTAAGTTACATGCAGATCGAATTACAACGCTACGCATCATCATCATCGAACAGAGAATGAAATAACGGGCAAACCTCTACATCAACTTAATTGATTTTGAAAATGCCTTTCACAGTGTTGGCCATGAAGTTATCTGGAAATTGCTTTCAGACTATGAATTGAATTGCCCAAATTTTTATCAGTTACATTCAACAGTTATATGATGGTGCTACGTGTCAAATAATTCACAACGGAAAACTCAGCGGAACCCTTGAAATGAGAAAGGCTAGGCTGCCTACTGTCACCGATGATATTTTTGACTGTAGTAGACTGAACCATGTGGAAGTCTATGGAGAGAGAGCATGAAGACAGGAATACGTCAGGCCGACAGAAAGACTCTAGAGGATTTGGACTTTGCGGGTGATTTGTGTCGAATGCCAAATAAACTCAAAGATCTACAGGTGAAAACTAACAAGTTGGCGGAAGAGGTAAGCAGTAAAGACAGGACTTTAAATGAACACTGAGAACACACAGGTGACAAAGTTACCTAAGCGAGAACAACAAGCGTCAATCACTACAGACGGCAGATATTTGAAAGAAGTCACTTATTTCACTTATTTGGGCAGCATTAGTTCAACTACAGTCTGCAGTGATGAGGATTTCAAAGTCACGATCGGAAAAGCAAGACAAACATTCATCCGTGTAGAATTTCGAAGCATTCAGTACAAGGAGCGGGATTGGGATTTTCGACATTAATGTCAAGTCAATTCTTGTACATGGTTCAGAGAGTTGGCATGTCAGCAGAAGCTTTCCACACAGCCTGGTGCAGATGTTTATCACAATGAAGATCAGACGGCCTGCCAGAAACCATTCACAGCAGGTAGATGACGAACCAACCAAGAACCTATTGCCCAAAATATCTCGAAGAAAGTGGAGATGGATTGGACACACGTTGAGGCGATCGTTGGGTGATATCGTGCTTTACGCAGGCAATCGAGTTAGGAGTTCCAGTGTGGGGAGGAGGTGAGAGCTTATGATCACTCGTGGAAACAGGTGAAGACAACTAAAGAGAAAACAGTAAAATAGAGATGTGTTGTTGAAGCCTTATGTTCCACTAGGAACCTAAGGGAATAACGAATAATAGTGCTAAATTAGTATATATCATATTCCATTCGTGATAGTTTCTCTTTGAACGATTGAGTTATATGCCTTGTACCACTAGGCAAAGTAGCCCGAGTGACTTCCGGTCTTTGTTTGTATTTCTTCAATTATGTAAAGTTTTCAATTATTTTCGAATTGTCATTCCCATCTTTTTATCAACTTCATTGACAGTTTCTTTTGACTATGTTTCAGTTTGCTAAGATAAAACTATTTTGAAAAGCAAAGAGGATAATGTTTATATGCTTTTACATTTAACCCAAACACATTTTTTGAGCGCTTTTCTTCTTACACCATGTAGACATAATTTGATTGTGTATTCATTCAAACTTCACATTCTACTATGAGTACAGGATTTTTCTCCGGTTGTATTTTATGTAACTTGTATAAATTGGTAATCAATTTTACCGCAAAAAGTTAGGAATAAAGGTGTCGATACCTTTTTTCTTTCAGTATTATCGAAAGTTTAGACGGTGTACGCCTGTTATGGTCCTTGTTGAAGAATCCAAATCCTAAAGTTCAATCCTATGCAGCTTGGGCGTTATGTCCGTGTATTCAAAATGCAAAGGTATGAAATATCACTGACTTGATTTCTATACCGACTGAGTTATATATCATTATTTTTAATTTTACAAAGAATTTACCCCCTATTGATGGCATAAAAATCAAACGATTATTGAGTTCATTGAAATGTGATTAATTCCGATCGTTTATCTCACATGTCCACATGTTTGAGATAATATACTAAGGATAGTTTAAGCAGTACACATAGTTTCCCACCTTAAAAGATGCAAATAGACTTAATTAAACTGTTTGTTTAAGTTATTTTTTTGTCTCCCGTTGACTGAATACATTAGGCCGAAATGTTCGGTCTCTGTTGCCATGTCAGGTCCTAGTATGGACACTTCAAAGATGTCTGAAGATTAACACGATGTTATTTGGTGGGTAGCGACTAGCAGTGAAATACAGGGCGCACACTTTATCTTATTTAAGACGTTTTAGCTGGATTTATCTGCAATCTCCAGTAAGTGAAGTTGTTCTCATTAATGTCAGAACCCAGCAGCTATAGTTTCAAACGCCAAAGCGTTATCCACTAAATTAATATAATATGAGACAGTTTCACTGAATGGATTAATTGTGCGGTATTCAGCCGTCAGAATAATTTCAACAGTGAAGTGTGACAGTCATCCAGAGTATTTGAGTTAGTTATTATTATTATTGTTCCCTTGGGTTCCTAGTGGAAAATAGGGCTTCAACTGCACGCCTCCACTTGCTTCTGTCTTCTGCTGTACTTTTCACTTGCATCCATGTTAGTCTATTCTGTTCCAACTCCTCTTCACACGATCTCCTCCATGTCACCCTTGCACTGACGTCCCACTCACCGCTTCCCTCTCGGGTTCCACTCGAGCTATGGCCTGACGCGCGATGTCACCCAGCGAGTGGCCTCCTCAGCGACTGAGTGACCAATCCATCTCCACTTTTTCCTGCATATTTGTTGAGCGATTGGTTCTTGTTTTGTTTGTTCCTATAGTTTCTTGTTGGTCCTTGTTCTTTCCGGCCATCTGATCTTCAGTGTAGAGCGAAGACAGTTTTTGATAAAGGTCTGCAACCTGTTGTAAATATTCTTTGTGACCCGCCAAGTTGAGTTAGTTATACTAACTTAAAACTTTAGTTTAAACAAAACAAACTTCTACGGATCTAGTAATTCAACTGAGTTTCAATCAAGACATTTGCATAGAAGTGCAGACATTCAAGTTGACATTCTCCATGTAGTACACATAGGTGGAGCAAACAGGGGCGAAGATTTTCAAAGGTGCTATAATAAGCAGAAGTCTATGGGAGAAAGAAAAGTCACACAGAAAAATATAACACTTTAGTCGATATCGGGGGGTCACAGAGAGTGAATGCATCTACGCCATTGAGAACAATTTTAAGCCATATCACCAATACTGTTTAATCATGAGGTTTTAGCATCTCGAGGAATCCAATCAGGTAGTCAACACCTCCCTCTACAACTCAAACCAGCTGTTTAGGACTTCGTGGACTGATGACAAGTTTCGGTTTGACTTCCCCTGCTTCTTTTCCAACCTAATTTAACGCAAACATCTATAGTGATAATTCATTTTATGTCTCTATCCAATCTGCGTTTGAACGATGTCCAACAAAAAAACATCTTACATAAGACATCAATGAAAGCCAAATAGCAGTAGATTACGAAATAAGCCTCTAAGATTATTAAGTGAGCACGAAAATCATAATAAATGCTCAATTCATTCAGATGTTTATTGAGTAATGCCCTCATGCCAATGTTCTCAAGTAGTTTGAGTTACGTTTTGCTTAACTACACACTTCCTAGGCTAATTGCAATCAACAATTTGCATAAGCAGCCTTCAGTCTGTGGTCTGGAGACTATTTAACCTAACCTCTTTATGCTGTAATGAATATTTAATATTAGGATAAGCTAATGTTCATATTCAGAAATTACCTTTATGGCTAATCGGCTTAACCATTACATAAATAAATGACCTTTTTTTACTCATTTTGTCACTGAAGCATTTGAATGAATGAATTTCAGGTTTTTGATAAATTCTTTCTTGTACTAGTGTATACATAATGAATTACTGAATTAACTGCATTTCAGAAAAAAAAAACTTTTATTTCTCATTTTATGTAAACATAATGATAACAGGATGCTGGAGAATTAGTACGTTCATTTGTTGGTGGACTTGAATTGATTGTCAGTTTATTAAGATCTAAAGACCCAGAAGTTTTAGCTGCTGTTTGTGCTGCTGTCTCAAAAATTGCCGAGGATGAAGAAAATTTAGCTGTAATTACTGATCATGGTGTAGTTCCACTGTTGTCACGTTTAACACATACGGTAAGAAATATTTTTTTCCGATTGTTTTTTTCGTTTATTGCCTTCTGAATGGAACACAGAGCCTAAGGGATTGTAGAAGATCTGATAGCGGTAGTGTTTTGATTGTGTGAAGCTGTTAGTTTCCCATCCCCCCCGAAACTCCTGCGTTTTGCGGGATTACCATTGGATAGTAAACTAACTGGTTTAGCAGCGTGTGTGTCGTCGAAGAGTCGAATTCAGAGTACGTGAGTGGCTAGTGAACATATTAACATTGTCAAAAGAATAGACACGGAACAAAGAGTACTCTTTTCGATAAATTCATCATCAGGTTCTACAATTATATATACATTATAATGAATGAATGAATTCGTCTTATAGACGACAATAATCTTTAAGTAACATCAAATCAATAATATTGATAAATTACAGCTGAACAGCATCAACATAAAATAAACTGAATGTCAGAAGAATTAGGAAAGATAATGGTACAAATTCATGAGTTTATAGTCTCTACTGAGGGCCGGCCAGGGCAGTAGTAGGTGCTGGACTCGTTTCTTTTGGACATAGAGCACTGGTTTTTTGAGGCGAAATACAATAGCCTCTGCTGTTTGGAGTAAGCGGTGCTTCGACGATTTTGGTAGTTTGTTAGGCACCCGGTATATTAAAGAGAAGGATTCTTCTACGCTGGCTTTGTGACCGGTTTGCACCAGATGGTCTAATATCGAGCTGTTAATAGTTTTAACTACACCTTCACTTAGCCATAGTGGGATATGCTCTCGAGCACGAAAAATCAAGTTCCTAGAGCAACGGCCAACATAACTCGCTCCACAAGCGCAGTTGAATTGACAGATACAATTTGAAGTGGCTAGTCTAGGTACTTCATCTTTCAGTCGAGGTAGCACCATCGGTCGTGTGCGTCGGTGGCACAGTGGTTAGGACTCTCGCCGACCATGCACATGGTCCGGGGTTCGATCCCCTACCGGCGCACACCCGATATCTATGGTATGCCTGAATTTGGGCAACCGATATCCATGCTGAAAATTCCATACTTGTACTGAAAATACGGTGTGGAATCAAGCTGTAAATCAAATAAATAAAATAAATAAATAAATAAAATAATAAATAATACGTGTAGTTCGCCAGCATTAAAAGTTCTTTGAACTGATTTTCTTAATTTCTTCGTAATTATCTCGCTTGGTATATCGCCCATGAATTGTAGTCTTACATATAAAGGCTTCTTGTTTACAGACAGTGGGTAGTCCTTTTCCGCTTTCTTTTTCATGTGTTTCTTGATAAATCTGTCAGGATAACCATTTTCGATCAAAGTATCATTGGACAACTGATGCACTTTGCCCATCTATACACATGAATTCATCATTTCTTTCAATAGACATACTCTTAACTACTTTTATTAACAGAGGAACTTTGTCTTAATCGTCAAAAAACATATTATTAGACATTTTACTTAGGGTTCCATTGAATTTTATGTTTTTTTCATCGAATGATAGTTTTATGACTTATCATATATACAATATCGTGTATTTGTTTTAGTCAGACTCTATTGATGAGAAGATAATCAACCACTACTCATTCTTGACATGCACATAAATAATTCATTTATTTCCACAGGAGTGGATGCTATCTATCTACAGCATAATTTCGTCACACACACAAACACACTGAAAAAGTATACGAAACATTTGCATATGTAATTATTGGAAACAATATATATTTTACAAAACATCGAAATATCAAGATGGAATGTGCTACTGCGTGTTGTGAGTAATTTTGGAGGCAATCACATCAAACAGTGGTGTTGCTAATCAGATCAAAGTTATATATAAACATGAATGTTTAGCCCAGTTTAAGGTTGAGCACATCAGAGATGTACAAACGTTTAGACTCATCTGCGAGAGACGAGTCAATACAGATTATATGGAGGATTTCATCATGAGCTGACATCAGTTAGAGAACCACTGGAAAACCTGCAGGAAATACTGAACAGCTGTTTTGTCCTAGTTTGTGATTCCTCATCAGAACGCACCCACCGGGATTCGGACCCAGGACCAGTAGGGTACAGCGGGTTGAAGATGACGCAGTAATTCATCGAAGAAGACATTGCGAAATGGTCGCGCTATGTCGGGAGTTGGCAGAAGTTAGAATTCAAAGACCATTGGATCGGGTCCCAGTGGCTTAATGGTATACGAGCTCGCCTTGTAACCAGAAGGTCCTGGGTTCGAACCCCTGTAGTGGGTGCGTACTGATGAAGAGTCCCAAACTAGGATGAAACATCTGTCCAGTACTCTCAGGTTTTCCAGTGGTTCTCTAACTGATGTCAGCTCATGATGAAATCCTCCATGCAATCAAACAAAATCCCTACAAAACCAATACTTGAAAAATCAATACAGATTACTCAATTTCTGGCTAGTTACTTGGGCGAACTGATAGTGCATACATCATTATATGTGATCTGCTGGATATCACTATGTGTGTAATCAAAAATTACAACCAATATTGTAAGTTGGTGGTGGTGACTGATATGAATAATCGGGTACTACTCATAGCATTTAGATATCAACTAATTATTTGAAAAGTACCAGTGTGTAATGCAAATTGCAGACTAGTGACTAACTTTAGATTGTGCGTTGGCGGCACAGCGGTAGAGTGCTCGCCGACCATGCATATATATATCTATATAATAGTAGTTGCAGCTAGTTAGTGCATTGTACTTTTTACAAGTGTTCTGAATTCTTGGATTAGTTGTGTTCTCTGAGCTAGTTGACTTAACTGTGAAGCTTTCGTCGTCCTTCTAGACAACACCTTCAGCGCAGGTTTAAGTATAGAATAAACTCCTTTAAATTCCCCATGAATGATGGATGTAATTATGTCTCCTGGTGACCACTGTGGTGACTAGTTGTTAATTTACGTGTCTAGTGGTCACTTTTATTAACTTGGAATTCGAACTTTCTTGTCATGTGATTTGCTTATTATTAGCTGGTGAATTCAATCTGCAATTATAATAATTCACTTGAGTACCAGGCTTCTAGGAATACCCTGGCATTTTTGATGTTTTCTCTATTTAAAATTTCTAAATTATCCCAATCAAATTGGTGTCCATAATTATCCGCATGCACTGATATCAAAGAATATATATCATGCCTACTTTGACCAATGTAATGCTTATTGCACTTCATACAGTTTATTTTGTCAATGGTATTAATTTTTTTCCCTTTTCTATTGGATCTTTTGGTTTGCACAGTATGGCTGGAAGTGCTTGTGCTATTTTGCCTGTGTGGTATATCTATTTCAAACGGTCTTAATTTTCTAGCTGTTATTTCGGAGATATTTGTTTTATATATATATATATATATATAAAAACATAGAAAACAGAAAAAAATAACAAATCAGTGTTGGCTTGTAGGTTCACATAGTAACTCAAAAAACAAAAGCGGTTACAGTTTATAAGATTGAGATTTGTTCAGTGAGTTGAGATCACTGAATTAGATGACTAATTGATGTAATCGAAATCAAGGCAGTGAGAGATTAATCACAGTCTCTTTCTGTATGCATAAGTCTGCTTTGAATCGTTTGATAACGATCGCTTCGGCAAATCGTAGTAAATTTGCTGTCCTTTGTCCATTTAATATTTTGAAGGACTTAGAAATCTCTACGAGATGACCAGTATCAACAATATGCCTGGTAATTGCACTTTGAGAATATTTGCTCCATTTCAGGCATAGGTTTCTTGGAATATGTTCAGAAAACCACCGGATAGAAGCCCTTCTTTCCGTCTTTGCAATGTACTTGCTCCCGCAAGTAGACTGTGCGTCTGTGGTACAGTGGTTAGAATTCTCGCTGACCATGCACATGGTCCGGGGTTCGATCTCCTGCCGACGCACACCCGACATCAATGGTTGGCCTGCAAACTTTTGGCTACCGATATCACATGCTGAAAATTCCATACCTGTACCAAAAATTTGGTGTGGAATCAAGCTGTAATAAAAAAATTCATAAACTCAGTTGGAGGTGACATCAACTGGGAATTTTTCCAGTTTTGATTGGCTTATATAAGAAGAAGTAATCTATAATGTTATAAGTTTAGCTGCAGGGAAGTGATTTCAACTCACTGAAAAAATCTCAATCTCATAAACTGTAACCGATTTTGTTTTTTGAGTTACTATGTGAACCTACAAGCTAACACTGCTTGTTAATTTCTTCTGTTTTCTGTCTTACCTCTCCCCGTCTTTTCTACTTTGAAGGTGTATAAATTGATGATGAAAACTTGAACTAAAAATTGTAATTCTTACATTTTGGATGCGTCAATTTTATAGTATTTCTTCTCTACTACCACTTAAACATTAAAGTATGTTATTATCAATCTATATAACCATTGTAATTTCAGGTAGTCTGTAGGTGATGAGAACCTGTGAAATAGAATGATATCATTTTATACTGAAAATTTCGTCTTCTTTTCTTTATCGAAATGCAACACTCCTATTAAAAAAATATAATTCAGATAATATATTTCTTTGAGGAGTACTCTTACCTTTGGTTAACCGTGAAAACTCACTTCACTAACCATGTGTGTATTTTTATCCAAATCATAGGTAAGCTGTCCACCTTAATGATAATTATTGTAAAATATTACAGATTTCAAAAATGACATGGAAAAATCATGTTAAATGACACGGGAAGTTAAACATTTCCACTTAGCATTGAAAAAAGTAATTGACAATAATTAAAATATTATTTAATAATGGTAATAATTAATTAAAAAAAAGAGTAGTGATGATGGGCGAGATTAATTTTTGTGCATCAGACTTGACAGCTGTTTCCTTTTATTCTTCTGCCTAGTCATTATCAGTGCACAGTCAGAGATACTTCTGTCTGCATAGAGTCAGACATCCTGTCTAGGTTGAAAATGTATCCTGTAATTTTAACATTTACTGGGAATAGCTTAAATAATATTAAAATAAAAAAAGGTTTTCCGGTAATCTAATAAAGATATTATGGAAGTGAGTCTCAGCCGAACGTCTCCATTGCGTTCGGTTCTTTGCATAGATACTAGACTAAGGATTTGATTTTTGATTTTCATTTATCATTTTACTTACATATTCAATGTATCAATGTCTTATACTATCATCTTTTCTGAAGTAAATTATCTATTGTTTCGACAACACAATAAGAAGACGTTGTTTATCTGAAACGTGTAATGTATTGGCGCAACACATTTCGGACATTCTGATCACACACGTACTTGTCATACACAGTTTTTATAGAATGCAAGAAGGCATGAATAATTACAATACAGGTCAGATTGTATACAGGTGAGGGTCACAAATAATGGGTAGGAAGAAAGAAAGATAAGGCAAAGAAGGGGTTGAAAATATTATGAAGTAAATTGGTCCTTGGTTCTAAATTGGATTAGCAAGGCAGGTTTAAGGTGATAACAAATAACTTTCAGACACATAGGACAGGTTTAAGTCTTTTTATGGCTAAGGCTTCAATGAAGTTAAGTTTAGCTGCATAATAGGTTCAATTAGTTGCGGCCTTGAGTCTTTGTCTAGTGACTAGACTTTGTTGATCACCTCTGAACAGCAAGGATATGTAAACATTCTTTTTGGGAGCTGATTGGATTGGTAAAGCTCTATGGTTGACACTTCCGTAACGTCTAATAAATCTCAGTGGGTAATTGTTATCTAACAATATTTCAGTGAGGTGTTGTCTTTCTTCTTCAATTGTATCGGTAGTACATATACGGTGAATGCGATTGAACAAACATTTAACCAACGCTTTCTTATACTGTAGTGGACAGAAACTATGATAATTTAGGTACTCTCCTATCCATGTGGACTTTCTGTAGACAGATCGTTTTACTGACCCATCTTCTCGGCGGGTTATTAGTACATCCAAAAATGGCAGGCATCCATTATTCTCTTTAACGTATGTTAGTGATATACTGTTTTTTGCTCTGTTGATCCGGTTCAGGATTTCTATGGCGTCTGTTGGTTTATCACAAATGACTATTATGTCATCTACATATCTTTTATAAAAATAAACTTATCCAATCTCTTGTTTTACTTTTTTTAAACTTCACAGAAAGATGATTGTCTTAGGTGTCCATTAACTGATGCGATAGCAAAATGTTGTACATGGGGAACAAATCGTGTTGATTTTGGTAATTGTGGTGCAGTCACGCCTATTGTTCAATTTCTTAAATCATCTGATCCAAATGTTCACAGATCAACGGCTAAAGCATTGTTTCAACTAAGTCGTGATCCAAATAATTGTGTTGCAATGCATCAAGCAGGTGTAGTGAAGTATTTATTACAAATGGTCGGTTCACCAGTAAGTATTATACCAGAAAAGTCCTTATAAGTAATATTACCGTATTTTACAAAGAAATATGATTAGTTTCACCGTCTAGAGATAAGATTTTGATTCAGAATACAGTGATCAACCCCTCCCTCCATTTGACTGTATTACCTTTAAAAACTATAACTCTATCGTACTCTTGTATGCTTGTGTAACAGTGTGTGCAACTAAATGGTTGAGAATTTTCCCAATCTACTAAAATGAACTATATACTTGACTTCAAAATTATCAGAGTGTATTATATAAGTTAGCTTATTACGTCTAATTAGGTCAGGGTCATCAACCTGAAACCAGTTTGGAAATCTTTTGCACTAACTCAGCCAGAATCAAGAACAAGATTCGGATTTTCGACACAAATGTGAAGTCAGTCACTGCTTTTGTATGGGTTAGAAACTTGCTCCGCACGTCACGAAAAGGATTTTCAACAAGTTACAGAGTTTTATCAACAAGTGCCGTCTTATTTGGCTCCATACTGACGATCAAATGACCAGCTGGCCAGAAAGAATTAGCAACAACAAGCTCTGACTAGCAAAAAACCAACCAAGAGCCGATTGATCAACAAATATGCAGAAGAAAATGGAGATGGATTGGGTACAACGCTGAGGAGACCGTCGAATAACATCGCGCTCAGTGGAGGCCATTGCTTGAGTGTAATCCAAATGGTTCGTCGTTGGGAGGGTGACATGGAGGAGATCGTGTGGCGAGAAGGAAACAAGAGATTATAGTCAAACGTTGACGCAGGTGAAGAGGACAACAAGGAATAGAAGAAATCGGAGATGTGTTGTTGAAGCCTTGTGTTCCACTTGGAACCCAAGGGAATGATAATAATACTAATAGGTCAAGTAGAATGTTTTAAACTGCAAAGTCTTAACCAACTGACTCCCGATCGATTAAGAATTATGTGTAGGGTTTCGGATGTTCTTTTGTGGATGCCTTAAATACTTTCTTATTTTCGGTGTAGTCAATAGCTTATACTATAAATATATATCCTACAAAACTGCGTATTGCTCAACTTTGTAAAGCTTCGAAAGTTTCAGCAAACTTACAAAATTAATATTCTTTTCTCCTTGACAATCACATTAATAAAAGTAGTATTTTTCAAACACCCAGTCCTTTTTTTAGACTGTAGCATGTGCGTGATCATAACTTTTCAAATATTTCACTGTTATAAACCACTTTTCTGAGAATGATAACTTACGTTGGCAAAATTTTCACTGTTGACAATTTGCAAAGTTAAAAAAAGTGATATTACAAAATACCGATGGAATAACTTTTTTTATGCTAGGAATTCAAATTTCAATCGATTGAACCGATATGATGATAACCTGAATACGTGTAAAAAAACATCAGAAAAAACAAGACAGTGAATTCCCGACTTTAACTGAACTGTATAAAGGAAGTAGTCTAGTTGTTTTCCTTTCGCATTGAATAAAAACAGGAGGATTAGTTATTTTTGTAAGTGGGAACTCAAAATGATAAATGTAATTTTAAAAATAATCCTCCGATGCTCACTAGCGACCAGCCCTATTCAGGTAGTTAACCTGATGTTCTAGTGGAAAGTTGTGACCAGTAGGGTACAGCAGGTTGAAGTTGAGGACAGTCACTCATTGAAGAAGACATTGCTAAGTGGTCGCACTATATCGTGAATTGGCAGAAGTTAGAATTCATGGACTGGCCACTGGATTGGGTCCCAGTAGCTTAATGGTCTACGAGCCTTGTCACCGGGAGGTGCTGAGTTTGAACCCTGGTGACAGATGCGAAGTGATGAAGAGTCCCGAACTAGCCTGACGAAACAGTTGTTCAGTACTTCCTGCAGGTTTTCCAATGGTTCTCTAACCGATATAAGCTCATGATGAAATCCTCCAACGAATACATTATGTGGAGAGATGATTGTTTTACCATTGTTGCTGATTTCCCTGTACTGAACCGTTTAACTGTAAAGTCTTCGTTCTCTTTCTGAACAACATCTGCAGTGTTAACTTCACCGGGAAATGAACTTTGAAGATTCTGTATAGATGAAATATTTTTCTATCCTCGTAACCTTCACTCTGATTTATTGCTTGTACCCATCGATTTCCTTATGAGTTGTGTTGTTGACTTAAGAATCAAACAATTCAGCCCATGGAAGACAATAACAATCAATATCATACAACTGAGTTTCATATCTTTATTGTTTCAAGGATATAACAGTACATACCATGGGAGAAAAGAAATTAGTGGGGTTTTGAGTACTTCCTGACTCCTTAGTTTCGTTGTTTCCTGAAGCCCACAAGCAAGAATTTCCATTGCTGTTTTCAAACAGTTTAATTTTACCGCGTTTCCATTTTCAAGCATTTAGAAAGATTAACTATAACAAAAATGCTAAGTATGTCTTCATTGAAGTTTTATCCGTATCACTTGTTTTGAAATACTAAAGGAATAACAATTGTAAAATCGGACATATATATATATATGAATAACTCATGAACGGCAGAAAACGAAACAAGCTCTTGCTTAATTTATTCAAAAGTTAACGGTTAAGATTTATTTTATGTTAGCCTATTCACTGAGTGGGTGTAAAGCAGAATCGGTTTCTTCACATGATCAATGATAAGCCGCATAAAAAACAAAACAATGAAGAAATCTGCAATTACAAATAATAACTAATATCTGGATCCATACTATGACTTGTTGTTAGATTTACTATTTCCTTTAATTCCTAGAGGAACATAGGGCTTCAACCGCGCGTCTCCACTGCGTTCGGTTCTCTGCTAGAGTCTTCACCTGGCTCCATGTCTGCCCACAACTTTTCATCTCCTTTTCACATCACCTCCTCCAAGTCACCCTTGCACTGACGACCAACTCGCCGCTTCCCATTCGAGTTCCACTCGAGCATGGCTTGTCTAGTGATGTCATTTGATGGTTTCCTCAGAGTATGGCCAATCCATCTCCATTTCTCCCTTCTTATTTGTTGCACAATCGGTTCAATGGTTGGTTCGCTCCCAGAGATCTCTGTTGCTGATCTTTTCTGGCCATCTGATCTTGAGTATTGAGCGAAAACATCTGTAAATGAAGGTCTGTAGTTTGTTTGAGGTGCTCTTTATGACGCACCAAGTCTCTGATATGTACAGTAAGTAGCACTGACTTCACATTGGAGTTGAAAATTAGGATCTTATCTTTCATGCTGAGTGCTGTTGACCTGCAAACAGGCTTGAGAGTAGTGAAAGCTTGTCTTGCTTTTCCGATACTTGCTTTGACATCCTCGTCAGTTCCGCCTGTAGTTGAAACGATGCTTCCCAGGTAGGTAAAGGAGGTGGTTACTTTCAAGTTCCTCCCATTTGTGCTGACTGTTACCTGCTGTTGTTGCTGTTGCTGCTGGTCAGGAATCTTCATCACCTCTGTTTTCCCTATGTTTACCTGAAGTCCTATCTTTGATGCTTCTTCTGCCGACTTCTTGCTTTTCACTTGCATATCTTCCAGTTTGTGGGAAATCAGACATATATTATTGGCGAAATCCAGAACCTCCTAGTTTTTTGTGTAGGTATACTTAGTGCCTATCTCCTCTTTGCCCGGCCCGCTGTTTGTCACATTATCCAGTCTGCCGCAACCAGGAAAGTCACTGGTGATAGTAGGCAGCCAGCTTGTCTTACTCCTGTCCTCACTTCGAAGGATTCCGTAAGTTTCCCGTTGTGGATTACTTGGCATGCAGCATTGTCGTACAGCTGTTGGATGAGATGTATAATTGTCGGCGGCACCCCGTAGTAGCGAAGTAGTTGCAAAAGCACCTCTCGATCGACGCTGTCTGTCGAAGGCCTTTTCAAAGTCGATGAAGTTGAGATAGAGAGGTGACTGCCATTCCAAGCTTTGTTCAATGATGATCCGTAATGTGGCGATCTGATCAATGTATGACTTGTTTCTCCTGAATCCAGCCTTTTCCGGTCGAAGTTTTTCATCCAGGGCATGTTTGATTCTCTCCAGGATGATGCGGCTTAGTATTTCGCTTGGGATGGACAGAAGCATAATTCCGCACCAGTTCTTGCATTGACTTAAGTCTCCTTTCTTTGGTAGTTTGAATAAGTATCCTTTCTTCCAATCCTCGGGTACTTTGCCTTCTTTCCACACCTTCTCCAGTAGTGGCATCATTAAGTCCACTGATATCTCTGGGTCCACTTTCAATGCTTCTGCTGCTTTTCCAGCTTTTAGCATCTTGATTGCCTTCAGGACTTCTGATTTCGTCGGGGGGTTGGTGTTCATTAGTAACTCTGTCTCCGTCGTTGATATTGTTGGCTGCGTTGTAGGTAGTGGTTGATTCAGGAGTCTTTTGAAGTGTTCAGCCCAGTGTTTCCTTTGCTCCACTTCTTCGGTGATTGACTTTCCATTGTCATCCTTCACTGGCTTAATTTCTGTCAAACTTTTGCCTGATAGGTACCTAGTTGTTTGGTAGGGTGTTGCGAGGTCTCCTTTGCCTGCAGCTTGTTCTGCTTCACTTGCCATGGCTTCATAATATTTTCTTTTGTCTTCTGTGGCACTCTTCTTTACTCTTTTGTCCAGTGAATTGTAGTTTGCATTCAAATCCTATTTTTGTTGCTCATCGGTGCACTGGAGAATCTTTTGTTTCACCATCCCTCTCTCTTCTATCAGTCTCCAAGTGTCCGTAGTTTGCCACTGTTTGTCCTGTCCCTTCTTTCTGCCTAGAACCTCCATGCAGGCTTGACTCCACACTGTTTTCAAGTTGTTCCAGTGCTTTTCGACGCTGACCTATTCGCCAGTGTTGATTCGTGTCTCGGCCTTTTCCTTTATGCTTGTAGTGAAGATGTCCTTTGTGTCCTGGTCGTTCAGTTTTGAGTATTGAACTTGGCTTGTGGTCTGTCTGCAGCTCCTGTTTCTCTGAAAGCTTTTAATTTGATTTGGATTGTCCCTTGTACGAGATAGTGGTTTGAGCCAACGTCTACTCCTCTTCTTACTTTTGTGTCCAGTAGGCTGCACCTCCACTTCCTTGAAATTGAGACGAAGTCAGTTTGAATTTTGGTTCGCCAATCTGCTGACACCCATGTAGCCTTGTGGATATCCTTGTGTTTGTATACGCTGCCACCAATCCCTAATTCATTGAGGGCTCAGAAGTCGGCGAAGAGTCCTCCATTTTCATTCATTTCTCTGAGAGCTTCTCTACCCATGATGGGTTCCCTTCCTGTGTTGTCTGAACCCAGTTTGGCCTTCATGTCTCCCATTAGTATTTTAATGTCGCCGACTGGAGTATTGTCCACTGTTGTCTGTAGTTGTCTGTAGAATTCTTCTTTCTTTTCGAGGTCTGCGTTGTTTGTCGGTGCAAAGCATTGTATAACTGACACTTTCCTTCCTTTGGAGTTGAATCTGGTGGTCATTATCCTAGGCGAGATCGCCTCCCATTGCATCAGGGCCTTTGTCGCCTTTGGTGACATCATGATAGCCACGCCCTTGGTGTGCGTGTGGTTGTCTTCTGGGTGACTGGAATAGATCAGTGACTCTCCCATTGACAATTTTGTGAGTCCATTCCCGTTCCATCTGCTTTCACATATTCTCAGTACTTGGATTCCTTATCTTTTCATTTCGTTTGCGATCTGGGCAGCTTTGCCAATCTCGTACATGGTGCGGACGTTCCATGTCTCCATACAGACTTTTTCTTTTGGCGCAAGGAGATTCATCGTGCTGAAGTTTCTGTAGCAACTTTGTTTACAGTGTGCGGTTACTAGCCTCACGCCTGAGAAGGGGATTGTTACATTAAAATATAGTTTAGAGAGAAGCGACCTTGTGGGTTGCTCCCCTTAAAACCAGGAAAACAAGGAATAAAGCAATCAGTACAACACCAGCAAAAGGAAAATAATTCACAACAAGAAGGGCAACAAGCGACAACAACAAAAAGCCTTAGAAGTAGTATCACAGTGAGATACAGTTAACAAAAATGATACCAAAATCATTGACTCACTGACTTGAGCCGACTTGGACATGTAAATCCATCAATATATACAATCACAGATATTAGTTAGTGTTAGACAGTCACAAAATGGTTAGCAGATAGTTATAGGTATTATCGGTCAACTAGATTATATCCACAGATTCAGTGTTCAATAGGCAAATAATTAATATAAGTTCCACAACTTCTTGGCAAGAAAATCCACGGAAACAAGAGTTTTATGTAACTAAGTAAATGTAGCGTAGTAACCGAAAAGCGCGTTAAGTTGTTAGATTTAGACTAAGCGAATTAGGATGTTACACAAAACTGTCCAGCATCATTAGTAGCACACCTCATAACGAATGAGAACACAAAAATACGTTGGACTCACCAAGATCACTAGTGCTATTTTAGAAATCCGTGTCATTTTAATGAGTGTAAACGATTCTTATAAATCGGAAAGTATTGTTGAGGATGAAGACGATTATTATTACAGTACCATTGGGTTCCGAGCGGATCTCAGGGCATCAACAGCAAATCATTACTTTATCCTGCTCTCTGCAGTCCTCTCAAGTTTGCCTCACGATTGCCCATATTCTGTCATCTCCTGCTCACACGATCTCCTCCATGACAACCAGCATTCAACTTGCTCTTTCCCATTCGGCTCCCACTCCAAGGGTCTGCCTGGAGCACCATGTCATTCGAAAGTCTTCTCAGTGTTTCCCATAGATCTTCAATTTTTTCAGGATATTATTTTTAAGCAATACGTTCTTGGTTCGTTCATTCCCAGAGTTTCTTGTTGCTTATTCTTTCTGGTCCATCATTTGATATTCAATATAGAGTTAAGGTTGCTGTTGATAAAAGTCTATAACAGGCTGTTGTAAATGCTTTCTGTAACACTCACTGCAATTTTGTGACTCATATAGAAGCGGTGACTGACTTAGCATCGATGTTGAAAATGCAAATTTTGTCTTTTTGATGCTAAGTGCGGTAGATTTACAAAGTGATTTCCGAATGATGAAGTTCTGTCTTGCCATTGTGATTTCGGTTTTCACGTCATTATACGTGTGGCCTGTATTTGAAACAAGCATGAAGAAGGAGGTCATTAATATTAGGAACTAAATTAATTCACTACTTCCTTTCGTTACTCCATAATGTTCTTTTAATTATTTCCGCATTTACTTATAAGTCTAATCACACACTGTTTCAGTTTGTATGAAGTCGAAAAGATCGAAGAAATAAGGTAATATTTTACTGTGGTACCTAATTTGATGTTCATTAATTGCTCAAATTCATGAAGAGAGAAAGTTTTATGAGGCTTTTTTTATCATTTGAGGGGAAAATAATTTGTGGAATACTCAGAATTTTGTCTCACTTTTCATACTATTCAAACACAATTTGTTGACTGCTGGTATCTTTAAAAATGAAAAAAATGAATCAGTTTGAGAAGTTTCATCTTTTATACAGATTTCGCACGTTTTCTTGCTTGCTATTATCTGCTTAAGTTATTTTCTTTCTGCCCTGAGTTAAACTGAAATTCAAAATTCAATTATTCAACTTTAAGTGAGTAGTAGCTAGGGAAAATCCCGTCAGTGTTTCAATGGCAGAATACTCACTGAACATGTGGAAGTTGTGTATTCGATCCCCAGCTGATACCCTCCTGAACATCATCTAGCTCAGTAGCTAGTAGTAAACCAAGAAAAGAGGGAAGGCTGAGCGTGAGGCACGCCATCCCCCTTCCCAGTAAAAACAATGCCATGGCTCCTGAAACTTCAAAACCTGAATGCCTAAGCAAAACAAGGTCAACCACTTTGTATTTTATCATGTTTTATTGAGTGGAATAAGTAAGAGTAAAGATTTATTTGTATAACTGCTAATTTATTATCCATTGAAAACCAGGCAGTACTGGACAGCCAACTGTTTCATCCTAGTTTGGGAATCATCGGCAGTACGTACCCACCACAAGGGTTCAAACTGGAGACCTTCCGGTTACAAGGCAAGCTCGTATACAGTTAAGTCACTGGCCCATGAATTCTAGCTTCTACAAATTCGTGATTTAGCTCGACCACCAGCGCTGTCCAGTACTCCTTGGTTTTCAATGGTTTTCTAACTGATATCAATCCGTGGTCAAACTCGTAAATACGAATCTAACTAATGCTTACAAAACAACTCTTGAAAATTTATTATCCAACCGAATTTTCTTTGTTTTTTTTTAGGATCCAGAACTTCAAGCAGCCAGTGCTGGTTGTATAAGTAATATTAGACGATTAGCATTAGCCAATGAAAAAGCCTATCTAACTAAACTACAAGAGAATAATAAAAATGAAACTAGTAAAAAACAAGCTACACGAAAACTGAATAAAAATAAAGAATCTGTTAGTCCAGCCCATCAGCAACAAGAAGATGAACAAAATCAACAGAAGCAAAAGAAGAAACAAAAACAACCAATTGAAAGTGATCATAGTGACAAGCATTTGGTGAATAGTAAAGATCAAACTAATGCAGATGACACAGCGGTTGGGACAACACTTGCTGATACAACACAGGCAACAACTGGAGAATCACAAACATCTGTTGAACCAACATCGACTGATGAAGTCCGCCCAGATAAAACTAGAGTATCTCCGAGATAGGCACATCTAAATATCTAATGCATCCACAGATATCTTTATCTTTAATCCGAATTCTACTTTCATGCTATCATGCAATTAAAATGAATATGCAAAAACCAAGTAGGAAGTAAAACCAAAAACATGAAAAGACTAAAACGACTCTATGTTTAATTTTAACATAAATATGTATGTAGATATTATTTCTTCATACCTAAGTGAAAAAGAAGCGAATATAATTATATTCACATAACAGTTTTCTTTTTTTTTTAAGAAAAAATTTGTCTTCTGTTGACGCATCAGTGAAATGATCAATATTTTATTAAGTTGTCAGTAATACTCACTTGGCAAGGAAATGATGTTTCCACTTTTTGCTTCATTTGCTCATTTAGTGACTTGTTTAATTCAGTCTGTGAATTCAGCCATTCATACTGTGTGTATTTTTCAACTTGGTGAAGTTGAACTAGTAATTTTATTTGGTTGATTATTGGCTAGCAATGGAATCCAAGAATTGTACTCAATCCTATTTAGAACTCAGTAACTGGGCGTGTCTGTGTCTCTAGTGAGTGATGGGGTTCCCACTGAGGCTCGAGTTAATACTAATTTTATGTAATGAAGACAGACTCACTTGCATGAGGTCCAATTAGTGTTGAGAGTAGTAGTGTTGTTTTCAATGAGGTTTCGATACATATAGATATTTTTATTCACTTGGGTTACGAGCAGAACATAAGGCCTACACAGCACATCTCCATTTAATCCAGTTCTCTGCAGTCATCGTTAGGTGACTTTTTGATTGAGCGAAGGATCTCAACCTCTCACAAGATTTCCTCCATCTCATCCTAGTACGACCAACTAGCTGTTTCCCATTCGAGCTCCAGCCCGAAGTGTGCCTGCCACCGGATGACACTCAATAGCCTCCTAGGTGCGTGCCCGATTCCCCTCAATTTCCTTCGGAGTATTTATTGGGCAATAGGTTCTCGGCTGGTTCGTTGACAGAGTTCCTAGTTGATCCTCAGTGTAGAACGAAGGAGACCATTGATGACAGTCTTCATCATCAACCTTTTTGGAAATGCTTTTGGTGACACGCCAAGTCTCTAGGCCATGTAGAAACACTGACTAATTTGACATCTGTGTTAATTTTCGGAATCTTGTTCTTTCAGCACAGTGCAGTTGATTTCTTAACTGATTCCTGAGTGATGAATGTCTGCCTTGCCTTTCCGATCTTGATTGACTTTGACATCATCTTTGACCACTCTTGGTAAAACGACGCTGCATAGACAAGTGAAAGAGATGACTCCCTTCTGGTTTTTTCCGTTGATAGTGATTGGTGTTTGTTGTTGTTGGTCAGTGGGTTTTATCTATGTTTTCTCTATATTCATTTGAAGTCCTGTCTACGCTACTTACCTCTTCTGCTAACCTGGCAGTTTTCTACTGTAGATCTCCGAATTTGTGTGACATTAGACATAAATCATCTACAAAGTCAAGATCTTCCAGAGTCTTCTTCTTATGGCTTCAGCGTATTCCTCCCTGTCTTCTTACTCCCAAATATGTTTCGTATGATCCATGACATAGTCCTGTAAGGGGAGGACGCTGACAAAATGCAGAGTCTTCTGAACACCCTGAGCAGCAATCTTCGTATGTTTGGCATGCGATTCGCCCCTGTGAAATGCAAGATGCTGCTACAGGACTGGACGACGTCAACTCCTAGCTTAGTGATAGGGAGTGAAGTGATAGAACATGTTGACCACTTCACCTATTTGGGAAGTTGTATCAGCACCAACGGATTGATTGGTGACGAAATCTCAGCACGGATCCAAAAAGCTCGGGCTGCTTTCGCTAACTTACACCGTCTCTGGCGTAGGCGTGACATCCGGCTATCAACCAAGGGACGTGTATACTGCTCAGCAGTTCGCTCCGTCCTTCTCTATGGCGGTGAGACGTGGCTACTGAGAGCGGAAGACATGAAGAGATTGTCTGTTTGTGACCACAGATGTTTACGATCTCTTTCTCGCGTTAGGTGGTATAATATAGTGAGTAATGTTGACGTTAGGCGTAGTGTTGGGCAAAGGGAGAAAATCAATCGACGAGGCTATAAGGTTACATAGATTGAGATGTCTAGGTCACGTGCTGAGCATGCCTAACCATCGCCTCACCCGACGGGCATTACTACCTGATATAGGTGCAGATTGGAAAAGAGTAAGTGGTGGCCAAACAAAAACATGGCATCAATCAATCCATGAAATCCTTGACAGTTAAACTGAGTCAGGTAGGGAGATGCAGACTTCCGGGTTGGGACACTCTCGGGACTCTAAGAATCAATGACTGGAGACACTAGGTGACATGGCTCAAAATCGTTGCCAATGGCTTACGCAGATGTATTCAGTCTCTGTAATCTTTCATATTCCTTTCTACCATTACTCATTCTGTTTCACTCTTATACTCAACAAAACTCTATTGATTCACTACACTCATTTTCTTGTCTACCTTTGTGTGCTCTTTGGAACGTGGCAACTCGAACCGCTGCACTTCGGTGCCAAGTTCTATGTTGAATCCAGCCAGCCAGCCAGCATGATCCATTCCACCGCAATAAGGAATACCAACGGCGGCGGTAGGCAGTCTTGTCTTACTCCTGTCTTCATTTTAACGGTTTGACTGAGTTTTCAGTTATATTACAGTAACTTGATTACGGTTCTTCAACATAAAATACTTCAGGTAGACGAATAAATATAGAAAAAAAACGTGTACAAATTACAAAAAAATCCAATATGGGTTGTTACAAAATATTTGAGGTTATTAATGTAGACAGACATCAAACGATGAAATCGATTACATAATATATATGGAATACTTGATGAAATGTATAAATTTTAGAAAGAGGAGTGTAGTATTAATGGGGTCAGTAGGCATTAAACTAGTATGTGAAAAGCCAAAGCTCTGAATATAAAAGTTTATTCAACCATTACTTCGTCTATAGGCACAATCACAAAAATGATGACCTCTGTCCAAGGATGACTGGTGAAATATTGTGGTACATTCCACATTTCAGGAACCCCCTTGCATTTTTTTCCTTCTCCATTGATAGCTTAATGAAATGCACATTAACTCTAAGTCTCATATATTAATCTGTCTGACAGAAATAGTTTCAATCCAGTTGAAATCCAATTCAAGAATTTGAAGAGTTGGTTTGTAAGGATTAGATTTGTTTTTACGAGTTTGACCACGGATTAAAATCAGTTAGAGAACCATTGAAAACCAACAGGGAATACTGCACAGTTGTTTTTTAATCCTAGTTTTGGAATCATCGACAGTGCGCACCCACTAAGGTTCGAACCCAGGGACACTGAATCGGGTCCCAGTGGCTGAATGATATACGAGCTTGCCTTGTAACCAGAAGGTCCTGGGTCCGAACCCCAGTGGTGGTTGCTTACTGCCGATGATTCCAAAAACTAGGATGAAACAACTGTGCAGTACTCCCTGTTGGTTTTCAATGGTTCTCTAATTGATATCATTCTGTGGTCAAACTCGTTAAAACAAATCTAATTCAAGATTGTTTCAACACAGCTATTCATCCATGTTTGCTTGACAAAAATGTCTATTAACAACTTCATGTTAAACTTAAGTTACCGGCGAAGCTTCTGTATCAGGAATGGACATATTAAGAGAGATCAAGCGTTACAGCCGTGTAAAATCATTCGTTCACTTATATCTTCTTTAGAAAAGATGGTCAACATTATCAACTCAGATGAGCTAAAATAATTTATACAGCAACTTCAACTACGGATGTCATCCGTTACAGTCACAAATGAAATAAATGTTTATAGGTAATTCACACTTAGGCGTTAGTATAATCCTTTCTTGAGTGTAAGAATGAGTGGCTAAGATAATCGTGATTTACGTCGTCATAGTTGATTTGTTAGTAAAGAGTAATTCAGTGTAGATGGCCTGAAATTGATCGAATGTTAAACATCCCTGATGACTGTGCATTATTTGTAATCTAATTTAAAACCATCTACAATGAATCAAAATTATTTTCATTATCACAGTTCCAAGGTGCTTTTTTTCACAGAAATCTGACTAGTAGGGTGCAGCAGATTGGGTGTGAGGGCAAACACTCGCCGAAGACATTGGCTGGCGGTGACACTATGACGTGAATTGGCAGAAGTTGGAATTGATAGGCCATTGAATCAGGTGGTAGTGGCTTAATGGTCTGCGTGACTGCCTTATAACCAACTGGAAGGCCCTGGGCTCAAACCTCAGTAACTGCGTACTGATGAAGAGTCCCAAACGGGGAAAAAACATCTGTTCAGTGCTCCTAGGTTTTCCACTGGTTCTCTAGCAGCCATCAGCTAATGATGATATCCCGTAACAAACAAAATCTCTGCAAACCAACACTTGAAAGATGACTGACTTTGATGTGACGAGCCTTTATGCTAATGCGGTGATCAAAATGACTGTTTAAGCACTCTTGAAGGAAATAACATTCAATGAACAAAGCCATTAGTTTAAAAATAGTGTTAGGAATTCACTAATGTTTGATTTTTCCTACTTTTGAACTCCACCATGAAGTATGTAAACAAACAGACGAAGTAATAACAATCCTTAGGTGTTAGACACTTGCTTTAGATGACCTGGATTCTACTGCTAGTCACCATCCACCAATTCACATTCAAGTATCCTTAAAAAACTGTAAGAAAACGGAGTGTTTGTAGTGGTCAGTAATAACTACAACATGAGTGAAAGGAAATTTAAGTCGTTTGCATTGTTATCCCTGTAGAAGGGGTTTTATTTCAGTGGGAATTATCATGACATTTACATGTAACAAGTCATCTAAAGCAAGTGTCTAACAGCTAAGGATTTAAATGTCACAGTCAAATAAAAAAGAACATGTATTCTACTGTATGACATGAAGTGATAGGTCAAGTACACAGACTGAGCCAATCACTTGAATTAATTTAAGCTACTGTAGCATGGGAATTCTTCTTCTGGGCATGGAATAAAATACTCCCAAAATCAAACAACCAATGCAAAGCTCAGTTATTTCAACCAATAGTCTACTAAATAATTAGTGTAGGAAACAGCTACAATTCCAGACAGTGATAAAGCTAAATGCAAGGGAGATTAATCACTGAACCTGTGACCATTGAATTAATTCATACCTCACACATGCGACATGAATGACGTCACGTTCATTCAGTAAATCCAGAGAAAATATTGTTACTGTCAGAACTGA